TTGGAGGTGGTTTTTGCACTGGTGGGGGGTGGTATATTGGTGGTGGCTTTTGCACAGGTGGGGGTTGATATATTGGTGGTGGTTTTTGGACAGGAGGTGGCTTTTGTACCGGTGGGGGGTGGTAAATTGGTGGTGGTATTTGGATTGGAGGTGGCTTTTGCACAGGTGGGGGGTGGTAAATTGGTGGTGGCTTTTCCACAGGTGGTGGTTTTTCCACTGGTGGTGCATAGGTTGGAGGAGGCGTTTGAACAGGTGGTGGTTCTTCCACGGGTGGTCCATAGGTGGGAGGTGGTTCTTGCACAGGTGGTGTATAAGTAGGAGGATAGTAGCCTTGTGTATCGGCCAGAGCAATGGCTAAAAGAGAAAAAGCCATGAAAATTTGGACCTTCATTTTAGAGCCCATTTTTGTGAGTGGCTCTTCACTGAAACCTATGAAGTGAAGAGTGGGGTTTCATGGGGTTTATATAGGCTCGTTTGGGTAGGCCATACACGCTTGAATTTTGTTGTCACGTGAGAAAGCATTTAAAGTCTTATTGTCTCTTATAGTATACACGCGTTTAGAGTGATAGAAAGTGGCAGGCATTTGAAGAGGACATGTAGAAATATTTGGTCACTAGTCTTGGACCCTTGGATTCATGCGTCATTAATTTAGATAGACTTAACGTGGTGAGACGTAGCGTGGCATGGCAAAATATTATAATTTTTTTAAAAAAAATTATTTAATTCCCCTTCTGCAGGTTTGGATTTACTTCCCATATTTCCTCTCATTTGAAAACTCATTCTCACCTGTTATTTCCTTAATACATAATGGGTCTAAGATCTACTTAGAGAGGAGGAAAAAATAGGTAAGAGAGACACCAAAAAACTCCATTTATATTTTTAGAGAGAAACCAACAAATTTATTCATATTTTTAGAGAGACATAGCTTTAGAGAGAGACTAACAAATCTATTCCTATTTTTAGAGAAAGCGCGTGCCTTAGAGAGGAAAACTAACAAATCCATTTAAATTTTTAGAGAGAGACAGTGTGAATATGAGTTGAAAGTAAGGTTGGAGAGAGAAAAAGGGCAAAGAGAGAGAAAAATATGAATATTTATTTGGACTCTTGTGTGGGACATTAATAGGGGCATTTTCATTGTAAATATAGCTGCCAAGTACCCTGGGTCAACAAGAAAAATAAGTTCTTTGCGGTGATGGGTGAAATTTTTTTTTCAACGGGGAGTATTATGAAAATACATTCCAACTTCCCCGCGAAGGGTAAGCGCCCTCTCTTCCACTGACCTAACTTAAAAAAAAAAAAAAAAGAAAAAAAAAGAAGAAGAAGGTACTCCAATAGATTTCCCATAATTCTATTTTTATTTTTCATAAATGAATGTTTTAAACATTTATAGGCATGGGTGAATTTGTGTTGCAATTTTCAAAACTGAGGCAAATGGACTCGTATTGCCGATTTACTCCAAAAATGACTTTTAAATTATTTCTTTAATTTGAGATTATCATGCTTGTTCGTACTCATTCCAACTGAAATTTAGCCAAAATTTAGTGAGAGGGGAGGTCGTATTCAATGCATTAATAATACTTATCCAGATTATACTACTTTTCTAGATCTTTTTATGTTGAGTATATGTCCGTTAATTGATACTATTGCTTGGGAAATTATTGTAGTTGCTTTTCCAATTAAGAATTTATCACATAACTATAACTACTGGACTTGAACATACTAAATTAATATAGGAAAAAGTTTATACAAGTTGCAACCTTAAAATGTAGCATTAAAGATTCACCTCCAAAATCCATTGAAAAATGTTGTTTTTAATGTTGACAAACCCACTAATTGATCATCTTGACATCTATATATATGAATATGAAAAAAACAAATATTTTGAGTCCAAGAAATAGTGCATCTTGCAACACATTATCTAGGCCGTCCATTTTCAAGAGTTTCATATGTTTTTAGATCTACTTGATTTTAACCATTTTTGGAGTTAAAATTTTATAATTAGATATGAAAATAGATTGTTCAGAATTTTTTACACCAAAATTACATGTTATGATAAAAGACAAATTCAAAAGTAATTGGATTGTTTAAGGTTGCAGCCAGAAACCACACTCATTAATATATATCTACCACAAATATTTTTTAATTATATTAATAAACATGACTTCAAATTATACATAATAAAAGAATATAAATATGTTATAAAAATAATTTCTATTATGCATCAATATTAAAATATCAAAATTATTATCCAACTAAAGAGCTTTAACTCAGATATCTATTTGAAATTCCTTGGAAGCGCCTTACTGTGTTTTCCGAGCTACTCTATTTTTATTTTTATTTTTTGGGGTAAGTCAGCGGGGATAACGAGCCTCTAACTATCGAGCTACTCTTAAGTAGATGACATGTTTCGTTCATATTGAAATTGTTACTTTTCTTTCACATTACATACATATCATCAATTGGCAATACTTTTATGATGAGAAGCCTTAAATTATCATGATGCATTCATTTCAAACAGATATTATCAGAGTCATTATCAACAATATAACTTATCATGATAAAATAAAAACAAAAAACAAAATAAATTCAATCCATGAGATACGATTTTCACTAAAGTTTATGTTGGTCATAATAAATTAATGTATATTACTTTCTGAGTGAGATGGGTTTGTTTTGGCATGAAAAAGTAGACGTGGAAAAGCTGAACATTATCGTGGGAATGATGAAGCAACATGCACTATGAAACACGAAATTCGTAAATAGGTATTTTAACAAGTTATCTCTTAGCAAAACAATGTGCGGCTCATTTGTTGAAAAACGATTACACTTATGAAATTCAGGCTTTATTCTTTTTCGTTTTTGGTGAAATCTTAGAGATTTGGGTTTGGTGATTTTTCTCAAATAACCCAATTTTAGAGTTTGATTTTGATATGTCACCAATTCATTGATAAAGGTTGTGATTCAAGAAGATGCAGAGTTACTTTGAAATTCTTTCTTTTCTTTGGCATTAATCAGATTCACTTTGTTTTGCTTTGTGTTGGGTTTCTCCTTAAAGCATTCTTCTTCACACGATTTTCTAACCTTGGTTAATGTATTGTTTGGTATTGGCTTTCTTGATTCTTTTTCATTCGAATTTCTCGCTATGATATAGTGGTTATTAAAAAATGAAGGTTTGAAGTTTCTTACGGTTCTCAAAATTTGCTTAATTTTGGATAGGTTCCGGAATATTCTTTCTCATATTTTTTTCTCCATCCTTGTTTATGCATCTATTGAGTTTTATATGTTTTTGAGCAATTTAAGTACTGACATAAAATAATTAAATAAAATACATGTGGGTAAATTTTGGGCCAAAATTACTCGGAGGTTCGGTCAACAGGTTATTTTTTTATTCCAAAACTACCCTTTGGTCCAAAATACCAACCTTGAACTACTTTTGAATTTGTTTTTTCTTTAACTTTTTTTTTTTGATAAATAGTCGGTTTGAGTTTGGCGTCCTCACACAGCATTGAACGACTTCAGAAGGTGATCTGAGGATGTTAAGCTCAAACTGTTTTCGATACCTTGTTTTGGTGGTGTTAGGGCGGTCTGAGGTTATAATCCCCGGACCGCATTGAATCCTAAAATGCCTTCAAATTAAAGAACAACCAAAAAATTTCAATTATTTCATTAAGCTTTCCTAGTTTCTTTAGATAATTCTTACTACATTCAGCCATATTTAACTAAATTGCAATTTTAAACCTATATAAAAGTGTTGTGAATGAGAGAGAGCAAAGGAAATAATAATATAAGCGTGGACTTCTTGGAGTTAAAATACAAAGGGAGGGAAAATGCATATTCTATGTGAAGACTATTTGGGGAAAAATTATTGGGGGAGTGTCATATATTGAATTGAAAATAGGGGAAGAAAATCAATGCCTTGTTTTGGCACTGGTAGGGCGATTAGATGTTGCAATGATGGGACAACATTTGATGCTTTTTTTTGGTGGTTTTGGGGGGGGGGGTTTCGAACAGCATTAAATATGACTCCACAGCCTTGCATTAAATATGACTGCACAGCCTTACTTTGGAACAAAAAGAAGTTAAAAACAAAAGTAATAAGCGGATCGAAAGGTAATTTCGAAAAAGTAAAACAAGAAAAAAAAAAAAAAGCCTTTTGACCGACCCAGCCCAAAAGCAAAATGAGCATGTCTTGCGCTACCGGCCTGCCCGGAGGCCTGAAACTTGGCCCAAAAATGGCCAGAAACCCGGACCTTCCCTGAAAGCACGTGGCCCGGCCTGTACCATTGGCCACCCTAAGGTTAGGATATCCCATTGACCATTTAGCTAGCTAGATGAGGTCGGGTCCCTTCTCTGCATATTCTCCGATCCATTTTGGGCTCAACCCAAATTGTTTACATCACTAGATAGAATCGCTAACCATGTATTGTAATTTTCTTGACAACTAAAACCTGATCTACATTTGGAAGTTTTGAAGTAGAGAACGGAGCCCACTAGAATATGCAATGACTCTATAGCGGTAAGTGCCCCTCTGCAAGGTTTCCGTCCACTCCTCACTGGTTGGCGTAATGAATCATATCAGGGTTTAGTTTTGCAACTTTAAACGATCAAAGTGCGAACTTTAAATCCTGTCATGCAATTTTGGAATTGAAAATTATGTGAAAATGTATTTTTATCTCTAATTATAAATTTTAAGCTCAAAAAATAGTCCAAATCAAAGAAGATTTATAAACGCATGAAAATCATAAAAATGGACGATCTAGGTAATATGCTGCAAGATGTATATTTATATAAGACTTGAAATCTATTTTCTCCTCAATATCTATACCTCTCGATATCGAGATGATCAATTCGATAGTTTTCCAACCTCCAAACATTATTTTTCGAAAGATTTTAGATGTGTATATTAATTTTACATTTTAAGGTGTTAACCTTGTATAAAATTTTTCCACTATATTATACTTTCCTGGCTGACCACAAACCTAGCTCAGGCCAGACTTGCCCCTGGCCTTGATCCCTATAGACCGGCTAGGCCGAGGTGATCTTGTGCCCACACCACCCACGGGCCCGGCCATTAGGGCACATTTTGTGATTTGGTCTTTTGTTGACCCGGGCCTAGTTAAACTTAGCTTTTCTAGGGTAGGGGAGGGCCGCCTGGCCCATTGCCAATCTTATTTTGATTTAGAAATAGCATGGAGTAACAAGTGATATTTCATATGTGTGTATGCGTGTGTATATATGTGTGTGTCAAAAGATTTCTTTCCCTCGTGGGAGTATATTATTCATTTACTCCCTTGGGCAAAACTCACTCTAAGGATATCTTTTTTATCTCAAATTTGGAGCATATGCTTCCAAGAGTTCGGAAGATGACCTCAAATAATTTTTTTTTAGTTCTCTCTCTCTATGTTCCTAAAAAAAAAAG